ATGGTCCTAAAAGGAGATAAGGACTTTAATAGTCCACGAATACTATCAGCTGAAGCTGAGAAGGAATTAGAATGGGTAGAAAAGAGAATACTAGAAGCACATGTGGACCGTGTGGATCCAAACCTAGACTCTATTCTGGTTATATTACCATCTAGAGAATATCCTTCAGGGATTTTGATGCAGAGAGAAGATATCATATTAGAATGGATATTCCTACCACATAAACAGAATAAAAAACTAAAAACATATATAGAAAAGATCTCTGACTTGATTATAAAAGGTAAATTAAGACTTCGTCAGCTAATAGGAAGGGACCCAGCAGAAATTATAGTACCTTTAACTAATGAGGAAATTTCCTCCTTATGGAAAGATAACGAATATTGGCAGAGAGCTTGCAGTAACAAGCTTTGGTAACAATTAGCAACAACTATCCCAAAACTGAGAGAATCAAATTCATAAAGAAAACGATTTGGATCCTTCCACGCATTGTAAGAAAAACACCTATTTCTGGAGTTCATACATTCTACACTGATGCAAACAAATCAGGTAAGGCAGGATATAAATCAGGAAAAATTAGCAAAGTGGTTCAAAGCCCTTACAATTCTGTACAAAAGGCAGAATCGTATGCCATTCTCATGGTACTTATGGATTTTAAAGAACCCCTCAATATAGTTACTGACTCTCAATACACAGAGAGAGTCATTTTACACATTGAGACTGCAGAATTTATTCCTGACAATACATAATTAACTTCATTGTTTATACAGTTACAAGATACTATCAGAAAGAGGACTCATCCTATATATATATAACACATCAGACCCCATACGGGTCTGCCAGGTCCTCTAGCACAAGGCAATGATGAAATTGATCGTTTATTGATACGAAGTGTGCTAGAAGCCTCAGAGTTTCATAAGAAACACCACGTGAACAGCAAAGGTTTAAAAAAGGATTTTTCTATCACTTGGGAACAAGCCAAGGAAATAGTAAGGAAATTTCCTACTTGCTCATTCTATAACCAAACTCCTTTACCACCAGGCAGTAACCCTAAAGGTATAAATAGGAATGAAATATGGCAAATGGATGTGTTTCATTTTGCAGAATTTGGAAAATTAAAATATGTACATCACACTATAGATACATTTTCAGGGTTTCAATGGGCTACTGCTCTGAGCTCTGAAAAGGCTGATACCTATTAGAGGTAATGGCCATTATGGGCATACCTGCACAAATAAAAACTGACAATGCTCCAGCATATGTCTCCAGCAAATTGAAACAGTTTTTTGAGTATTATAACATAAAGCACATAACTGGTATACCATACAATCCTACAGGACAAGCAGTGGTTGAGAGATCCAATCGTACTTTAAAAGAAATGCTCCATAAACAGGCAGGAGGAACCAAGACACCCAACACAGATTAAATAATGCTTTATTAACATTAAACTTTCTTAATGCTGATGAAAAAGGAAAAACAGCTGCAGAAAGACACTGGGCAATAGAAAAAAACTTCTGAACTAAATCAGCCAGTGTACTTCAAGGATGTACTGACCTCAGAATGGAAAGCAGGATATGTGTTACGTTGGGGTAGGGGTTTTGCATTTATATCTACAGGAGAAGAAAAACTGGATACCATCTAAGTTAATCAAGATCTGAGTTGAACAAGAGAAACATCTTAATGAAGAGAAATGACAAGTTATCCAACAAATTAGGTCCCATGAGGTGTGCAGAGGCCTCTCAAAGGTAGGGGAAGTGTTCTGTTCTTGTTCTTACAGGAAAACAGAGAAAACCTATCATCAAACAGCCAAAAAACACTGAACATGTAGGTACCTACAGAAGAGAAGACAGCTCTTCAGAAACAATCACTTAATGAAGCAGAATCTGATATATGGTAAAAATATTTAATTGTAGTAAACTATTTCTATACAGATATCTATTTCTCTCTACTATCTAGTATTCCTGAAGTCCCAATTTATGTAAACCAATGCTGGCTTTGGAGTTGGATTCGGCTTTCCTTCTCTAAATTCAAGCATGTTGTTAAGATTAAATTCATGGTTTCTGCCTTAAATCAAGAAGCCAATTGGTGTAAGGCAGAAGAAAACAAAATCTGGGGACTCATTTCTTATACGCAATTTTCTCTGAAATCCTAATTTTCTCACATACTTTTTAATGCTTATTGTTGTCTTTCCCTAATGCATGCCTTAAAACTTGAAAATTTTACTTTAATATTGATGTGTAGGAATAATAAGGATTCCTAACAGCAGTCTTTGAACTCTCTGGAAAGAAGATGGGGCCTCACACATCGTTTCCACTTGACTCAACCTGATGCATCTGAACTACAAACATCACCCTAAAACTGGTTTGAGACAGTTTTTCAGGAGACAACTCATGACTAGCTAGCTGTAATGGTGCACCTTTTTATTACACCCTGGCCAGAGTTTCAAATACAACTACAGTCAAGAATTTTCTGCCACACAGTGACTAGCTACATATGTCACAGCCAGTTCTGTTGAGAAATTTGGTTGCTAAAAATTTTTCTTCCTACAGGATCCATTGGAGCAATCATCTTCCCATTTCATCAGGAAGTAACCTTAAGATAACAATGCCCCCTTTCCCTACCCTTGGAATTTTGGGATAATAGTCATCATCTTTGGGTTGGTTTTAGTTATTTAGGGTTGGGTATGGAAGGTGATGCTTACACTTGGGTTTACCTTTTAGACAGGAATAGGGAATGGTTGGGAAAGGTATGGTTTAGATGGGATATAGGTAGATTAGCCTATTTTCTTGTGAATTTGAGTAAGAATGAGATAGCATTTTACAGCTTACATTGTTATGTATTCTTATATGTGGTAAGCTATGTAAAATTAAGTTTATATTTTGTTATATTTTGTGAAATCTTTCCACTTACGATGTTTTATGCATATTATTTTTACCATATTCTATGTATGTATACTTTTCTTGTATTCAAGACTTTTGTATATTGATACAATTTGGGATATTTATCATGCTGCCCTTTATAGTTCTACCTCTTGTCTTGACATTTCTACTCTACCTCTATTTTAGGGATTTATATGTATGTGTATGTATATAGTTATATTGTTTAAGTATTTGTTCCTGCTTTACTCAGGGAAGTTTTAATCAGTTTTTTAGCTAAGTTCCTGAGTATTACAGATTATCTTCACTCATGTTTCCGTACCTATAAGATTAGTCAGATATAGATGCTTAATCTTCAGTCACTTCATAGACATGCAGAACATGGCATTTAAATGTTTTAATATTAGTACTCCATTGACATGAGACACTGTTGCTCCTGACAGCACCGTGCACTTTCCCGAAAATATGTTGGACAATGTTGTTGCTCCTGCTGGAGTTCATTCTCGCCTCAGCTAATGGCCTGTTGGGCAAAGAATTGCCCCCACCTTGACCACTGATTTGGACATGCAGTCCTATGTGCTTGCAGGAGACAAATATAGAAGACTGCTTGACCTTGCCAAGTCAGGGTAAGACAGCCATTCTACCTCCCTGCTATTGTTGTGGTCTGTCAAGTTCTCTTGGCCTTAGCCAAAACTGGGTGTACCAACATTGCTGTGAGACCTAGGGTGACTGTCCAGGTGGCTTGCTGTTTCTGTCCTTGCTGCACCTTTTGGAAGTTGTCCATCCACACTTCGTGTCTACTCTAGTATCGTTATTTTCCTTCTCAGGTCTTGATGAGGTTGAAGATTAAACTATCACAACTATTATTCTCTCTTTCCAGCTTAGGACAACTCTATTGTAAACTCCATTATGCCTTCACCCTAGGACTACATATGTAGGTCATTTTGTTCTCGATTTTCCTTTTTTTAGAGCACACTTGTTATTCAGTGTTTTGTATATAGTTTTGTATTAAGCCTAAATCTTTTCTTTAGACTAAAAGTGGAATTGTAGTGAGATAGTCCTTCTGTGGCACTGACCATGCCCATTGGGGGTGGAGCCATGGGCGGAAGTGACCTGTGGAAGGAGGTTGGGGAGAGAGCCGGAAAAAGCTCTCTTGCTGGCATGACTCGGACAGGAGAGCATCGGGTTGAATTTCCTGGTGTTCATCTGTCTAGGTTGTAAGTTATTTCTCCATGAATAAACATCTATTTGGCCTATTTGTTTATCCTGATCCTTATTTAACTGCAATACTTTCCTATTGGCCAACAGGGCTTTATTCATTAACCAATAAGAGAAACATATTTACAGAATGACATCTCCCATCATGCAGGTATACATACACATACATACACATTTAGCAGCATACCTAATATTCATAAATTTCTTAAGTCATGTATTTCTAATGTTAATATAGTATTTGCAGTGTGGGAAATCTGGGCAGCCAATCTTCATAGTTAAACCCAAAACTAAAATAGGAGGAAGATATTTTATTTTAAAATTTTAAATTACAACTCTCTCTTGCATGTGCGTGCCCTGATATGTGTGTGTGTTGTGAGAGGGCATGTTCATGTTATGACATACTTGTAGAGGTCAGAGAACTTTGTGAGTTTTTTTTTTCTTCTACCATATGGGTCGTAGGTATTGATCCCAGGCAGCAAGTGCTTCTATTCATTGAGCCGGTTTGTAGGGTCCAAGTAAAATATATCTAGGAATTAAACCTATTTACAAAAAATAAACAGAAATATCATCTGCATACATTAATAGTTTAATATATATATTTGTCTCAAATAAGAGCTTTGAATTTAACCTTCACATATTTTGTTTTAGTTACAAAATGCTATGAAAAATATTTTCATACATATCAGATTATATCCATACTTTCAATGAGCCTTGGTGGCTAAGTAGACTAATTTGCCCTTCAAAGCAATTTATATCTCTATGTTTCTGATACCATCTAGGCTGGATGCTTTGAAGTCTTGAATTTATTTATATTTATTTATTTATTTATTTATTTATTTATTTATTTATTTGTAAACTTACTTTCTGCAAGACATGTCACATTCACTATGATGGTCCATTGGTTTTTAATCATGGAGATTCCCCCAGTTCAACACAGAACCCTGTTGTGATTTGAGTATCCTCACACTGGCATTTGGGTTTTGGGGGCTCAAGTGTCCTGATTCTCTTAACTCTACTGACTCTTTCCCTTCTGCTGCTCACTTGGGGACTGATATTTCTCAGTTTGTAGGCATGTGAGACTGACACACTGTCTTCCAGTTTGAGAATCATAGTTTGCTTTGGAATTGCAGCTGTGTCTCCTCCCAGCAATTAAACAAACCTTGCCATGGTGGGCAGGGGTGAAAGACGCCATCCTGCAGGCTGATGCACAGCTGAGCACACTTCCTTTTGAAGGCCCACTGCCTATCCTTTGGGTGAAGCGTTTGCTTCTGTGACTTCCCTTCATAGCGACTTTACTCTGATCGCTGCATGGGGATCGTGTTCTGAATCTGGCACAACACGATTTTGGTCTGGGTGTCCTGGGACTGGATTGTGTTTGGATTCTTGTACTGTGGTGTGAACCAACTTCTACACATTGGGAAGACTGGCTGCCCTTTCCTTTCTTATTTCTAAAAGAAACCAGCATTTTATCATTTCTAGTAGGAAAGGGGACATTTCTGGAGATACAAGTACTACAATGATCAGTTTCTCCTGATTTGCTTTTTATCAAAGTCCCTTCTCTAGGCAATCTCTGAAAAAGCTTTGATGAAGATTCTTCAATCTTCTTTATTTCTATTTCTTTGTTTTGATAATGTACCTGGTGGCCAGGACCAGGACTGAAAACATTTGTTTCCCTTAAATTGTACTTTCTTGGTGGCACCTGATTAGAATCCACTGATTCTCTATGGATGTGAGAACTTGTTCTGCTCTTCTGCAGATCCTGGACATGGCCTGAGAGCAGCTTTGAGCCTTCTGGCCTTTTCTCTTGATCATTGCTTTTGTAAAGCTCTGTGTCTGGGCTGCTTTCCCTGAGATTATCCCAATCCAGTAACAAATTGGTAGTACAAACCACATCCTTAAAATCATCTAATCCCCATTCATCCTCAGCCCAAACATGGAATTTGTTTGCTGTTTTCAGATGGGTTGTTGAGGTTTGGGGGTTTTGTGAGGAATAATTACCATTTGAAAATTGTTTCAAGCCAGAATGAGGCCTCGGCTCAGTCTTCTGCTGAACCTGGGTGTTCTTAGACTGCTTGCTGCCTTGTTGGGATATCACGAGGGGGAGACCCTCAGGCAAAGACAAGACAGGGGCTGAAACCATGCTCTTGTTTTTCATCCATGCTGAAAGTGGACACTGATAGATGGCACTCCGGTCATAGGTCTCCATGTTGTAAGATGAATGAACAAAATTGATGAACTCATGCAGAAAGTGGTGAGTATGTTGTAGGAGATAAGGCTCCAGTAAGTGAGTGAAAGATTCACTGTCCAAGTTAAATTGTGTCATGTGATGGAGAATGGCAGCTAGAATATTCTTCACTGTATAACCATGATCTCCATACACAACCATGAGTTCCCGTTTTAGCCAGGGAATCAGCCGGTGGAGGCTACTGGGATTTCTTTTGAAATAATTAGCTGAAAATTGTTTTTCCATTCCAGAGCCTTGGACATGTTTTACCCAGATTCCAGAATAATAAAGAGCTCTTCTGAACTCCACAACCACGTGATCTTTAAAGTTGCCCCAGGACCTGGAGTATGGTGGAAACTTCCCACCATCTCCAAATTTCCTCAGCAGTTCTTGGACAGTCAGTTGTCTCAAGGGTTTGCTCTTCTGTTTGGTGTTCTTTGACACCTCATTGAGATTTTGTCCTTGAGAGAAGCCCATAGAACTTTCCTCCTCTGAAGGGAGAAACAGAGAGTCGTCTTTGTTATCATTCTGTAGCCTGATGGAACAACATTGAGAAAGAAAGCGTTTCATGATGGGAGAGAGTGTGGATTTCTTCCCTGATCTGGAGTACAATGAGCCATCACCTCTCTTTCCGGAAGAGGAATTCCTGTCAGACTCATCCTGAATGCCTTCCAAACAGTTAGGACACTCACAGTTGGATGAAAGCTCCAGTGCCATTGGTTCAACGGAATGTGAAAAACAAAAATTTGCTCCAAATCAGTTTCTCATCTGGCATGAAAAAATATATATTAAAATTATTCCATGAGTATTTTTATAATATCCTCTCCCCATGGAATAAATGCAGGAATACAATTAGGTGATACATTATTTCTCAGATTATTGGTAATGTGCACAGAAAACCCAGTGTATATAAGGCAACAAAGATACAGGCACATTAAAATTTTTCTTTCTCCATGTAGTTTTTCAAGCTCTGAAAAGCAAATTCAAATAAAATAAAATCAGCATTATCCCTGAAAACATATGCATACAAGTAGCATTATACAGACTAATTAATTATACAATTAAAAGAAAAGAAGTCATGAATTTGGAAGAGAGTAAGGGGAAGTAAAAGCAATACATGGAAGGAAAAAAGTGGAAATGATGTAATTATGTTATCTCAAAAAATTAAAAATTTAAAAATTTAAGTATTATGTTCTTTGATCTAGCAATTCTATATGTTACTCTATATACACAAGAAACACATATGACAGTTTCAATGGGAGTGAACAAACCAAAAATTACTTAAAAATACATCAGTGAGAGATGCATTGAATGAATAATGCTTACATCTACCAAGACAAGAAGGAGGCTAAATATGTTGTTTAATAATGCTTTGTAAACTCCAGGACAGTCGGGCATAGTGGTTCACTCTTGTTATACCAACCCTGGGGAGGTTGAGACAGAAAAATCTTGGATTATATGGAGATTAGGTTCTTAGGGACTATTATTTGATCCTAGTGGTATTATTAACTAGATGCAGTAAGAAGCATTAAATTTTCACTAGAAATAATACAACTTTAATATATACAACTATATGGATGATATTTAAAAATTCTCAGGAAAGCAATTAAAAGCATATTGGGATCCACAGAAGGAGGTGAACACTGATCATTGCCTACATCTGTTGTTCTTGAGCTTCAGTTCTGATAGTCAGAACTGACAGCCACAAATGACAGGGGTCAAAGAGTAGGTGGCGTTTGAGGTTGAAAATTTGATTCAAAACACCTTCCTCAGTCTGTATACCCAAATGTTTGTTTGTTGAAAGAAATTAGTTTTAAAAATATCACCCCAAGAGGAGTCAGCAATAAAAACTTATAACTAGAAATAAGACAACATATTTGCAGATTAAATTCAAGCAATGTATTCTGAAAGGTTGCAGTAGGACTATTTATTTTTAATTTTACAGTGACTCTAATTGGCAAAGGCAAACATGTTCTCTTGGGAGCACATGACAGAAACTCAAGTTTCATAACAAATTCCCAAAAAATGAATTCACAATGAAAATCAATAACAAGCTTGGTGGTGCAATACTGCACCCTTGTTACATGGAAGTCTGAGGCAGGGGGATCGTCAGTTCAAGGAGTTCTAGATAAGATCATGTCCCAAAAGTAAAAATACAAACAGGACTAGGAATACAGCTCATTAATAGAACACATATTGGCATGTGTGAGGCCATAGCTTCAACACCTCATGCCATCCAAACAAACAAAAGCAGCAGCAAATCCTCCACCAACAAAAAAGAAATAGGCTGTTTGAAGATAGAGCTTCAGGAAAATATAGACAACAAACTTGGATCCTAAGAAAATCAGATAATTTATAAACTAAATGGAATTAAAAAGATCAATATGTTTTGAGAATGGTGTGTGTGTGTGTGTGTGTGTGTGTGTGTGTGTGTCCAGAAGGATTTGAAACACAGTAAAATAAGATTAAGAGAAACAAAAATTATACTATTAAAAATGGATCATTGAGCTGGAGAGATGGCTCAGCCTTTAAAGGCTAAGCTCACAAGCAAAAATGGATTATTAGTGGATAATAAAAATGGATATTAAGTAGATCAAATGAACAATTTGAGCACAGTTGGAGTTGTTGCCATGGTACAGTAGAGAGCTGAACCTATTATGTTATGGAATATTCCTTTATACTGTGTGAAGATATGTCACTATGATTGGTTTAATAAAAAAAGCTAAATGCCCAATAGCTAGACAGGATTTTCCCAGGGAAGAAGAAAGGTGAAGTCACCAGGAGTCACCAGTGGATGGATGAGAGGGAGCAGACATGCAGAAGGAGAGGTGAAGCCAGGAGTCACATGGCAACCTGTAGATGAATAGAAATTTGTTAATTTAAGTTATTAGAGCTAGTTATAAACAAGGCAAAGATATGGGCCAAGTTTTCATAATTAATAATAAATCTCCATGTCATTTTTGTGAGCTGACAGACCAAAAAGAAAACTCTATCTACACCACTACACAGACTGTACCAGAGAGGCTAAAAAGACAAACTGAAAGAAGAAGATAATGAAAACAAAATGAGAAGGTTTAAGATTCTTAGAAACAATGGGATAGAGGAAATGCAATCATGAAAGAGATAAGGCCTAACATCTTTCAAGTATGTGTAAAATTTGTAAATCATCAGACTCGGAATTATAATTGAGTCCAACTGTAATTAATAAGAGAAACCCACACCAAAATAAACCAAAATGAAGCTGCCCTCCATGAAACATAAAGTATCTTTCAATAGTTAACCAATCCACCAAATTAGCACATTTCCTATCAATAGTTGATCAATTTCATCTTTACCTTGTGCTAGAAGGTCTGGCAGACCAGTATGGGATCATATGGGATATATATGGAATGATTCCTGTCCCTAATTAAGTCTTGTAACTGAATAATAAAGTCAATTCTGTATCATGAATATATACTCTAAGGAGCGTTTAAAGCAAACAAAATTCTGAAATAATATATTCACTAGAAGTAGCTTCCAAGGATCAATCAAACTTTTAGAGAATTTAAGAGAAAGCTATTTTGGGAAACTAAAACTCAAAAAAACTCAAGAACAAATCAAAAAGATTATGTGTGAAATATAGTCTGCAAAAAAAAAAAAAAAATTACTGGAGAAAACAATCAGGAGATGGAAAAGAGAACAGTAAGGAAAACTTGTTATGTAAAAAGCCATATAAGGAAGAGGTGTATAAACCAACATCAAAAAGGTTGTATGGATGACAATGAAACTCCTTCCAACCATGGCCATCCATTTAATCCAGGAGGACATATCTCTCCATGTCTAACTGCTGCAGGAATCTCTTTATATAATTGCATGGCAGATTTTCACTTTTGAATAATGTGTTCAAAGACCTAATTAAAGCCAACTTGTCATACCATAATGAGGTCAGTGAAATGAATTTCAGAAATTAGGTTAATATTTGATGGAACTTGGAGAATTTCTTATGGGTTTTTGGATTCTAGACACAGCTCAATTCATTGTACTGCATACTCACCAAGTTTTCATCTTGATAAGCAAAATGACAGATACTGCATTCCTCAGCAAATGAAGAAGTCCCCATCCAACTGAGCCTTAGCTGGCAGATTCATTTGTTTATATAGTGAATGAGCTCTGTTTTGTTTGCCATAGAGAGAGAATTCAGAACTCAGGGCAAGTTCTATTGCAGACTAGGGTTAAAGGGAAAGTGCCTTGAAGGTTGGCATCTTGCGTTTCAAATCAGCAAGTGATGTTAAGATTTGATTGTGAATAAGACAGGATCAGACCCATGAGTTAGAAGATACCCAATCTCTCTCTCACCAAGTCGACCAAAGGCAATGTTTTAGCAAGAAACTTGACACAGAAGGAGTAAATACCAAGTGGAATGCAGTTTTTCTTCATGAATGAACTTCCTCAAATCACATGTAAATGTTTAGATTTAAATTATTTAATCAAAAATTTGCCATTTTCCCTTTAAATGATAGATATGAATGTTATGAGTATGTTTTTCCACTGGCCTGGTCCCAGAGCCGTGCCAGCCCCAAATAACACACAGAGACTCTGTCTTAGATATACTGTTAGCCAGTTACTAGTGTCTTATCAGTTAGCTCTGTCTTAAATATTAACCCATTTCCACATGGTCTTGGTTTACCATAGAGAGAGGCCGGAATTCTGCTCTCTCCGTCCTACATCTTGAAACTCTTCCCTACTCCTTCCTCCCTTCTCCTAGTCTCCTAGTCCCGCCTATATTGCTTTCCTATTGGCCAACAGTGCTTTATTCATCAACCAATATGAGAAACATATTTACAGAATGACATCTCCTATCATATGAATGAATAGTTCAATATATACAGTGGGTTACTCATACCTTGGTTGTGAATCAATATTTTGGAACTAAAATGACTTTTTTCTTCAAGACAGGGTTTCTCTGTGTAGTCCTGGCTATCCTGCAACTCCTTCTACATACCAGACTATCCTCGAACTAACAGAGATTTGCCTGCCTCTGCCTGCCAAGAGTTGAGATAAAAGATGTGTGCCACCACCGCCTATTCAAAATGATTTTCAAAAATACTTATTTTTTTCATGTCTTTTACTCATTCACATCTAAATAGTTGTTGTTACTACTTTGTCGTATTTAGTAGTTTAGTTTAATTATAGTTATTTGGGCCATTCAGTTATTCAGACCTAGGATGAAACTAAGATAAAAGGACATTTGGGGTTGATCAGATAAATTACTCTGAGAAGGTGTTTGATACCTAATAGTCATTTAACAGAACACTCATTTTAAGTGTTACTTAGAGTTTTATGTAATACACTGCATCATCTTTTAAGTGTGTGTGTGTGTGTGTGTGTGTGTGTGTGTGTGTATGTATGTATGTATGTATGTTGGCCTATGTATGGATATCAGAGAAAAACTTTCTAGATGGGTTGTTTTCACCTTCTACCTTTTGAAGGCTTGATCTCTTTTGTTATTTCTGCCATAGCACATACTCCACGCTAACTGACCCATGAGCTTTGGGATGATTCTCCAGCTTTCTCATGCTAGAGTACCATACAGTACTGAAATTACAAATTTGTACCACCATATCTAGCTTTCTTGCATACATTTTATAGATAGGACACATGCCCAGGTAGCAAGCACTTTTACCCATTTAACCATCTCACTAGCCCTCACCTCTTTAAAAAAACTGTGTCTTATATGA